GGCCATAATAATCATATACATTGTATATTGACAAAATAAAAATTTAACAAAAAAAAAAATGCTCTCCATCACGAAGAAATGATACATTTTTGCAATGGTGAATATGCTAAATACCCTGATTTGATCATCACACATTGTATACATATATTGAAATATAAATCTGTACCCCATAAATATGTACAATCAATACTTGTCAACTAAAAAATAAATAAGTAGTTCTCACTTGAGCTAATGTATATTCTTTTCGATATAACTACAAATAAGGTCCAGTTAATGATGTATGAGTCACTGACCCACATTTACCAACATATGTGTCACTTTTCCATTAAAGTGACTGTGCCTGCAAAATGGACAGGACACCAAGGAGGCAGTTCTCAGTTAGTGGTGTATGTAACATGCACACTGTGTGCCCTAGCACCCATTTAGTTCTCCTGAACTCTGAATGGAGGGAGAGTTTATATGAGTTGATCTTGTGTTTGGATACATTCAGATAGGACACAGCCAGGAGATGATAAATCTTTCTCATTTCTTAGGTGACTTGTCACAGGACCAGATTAGAAAGTTATTAATTTCTTAAGCACAGTGTCATTCCTTTTGCTGCCTGATTACCCTCCAAACAAATGCAGGGTCTGGCCCTATAAATGGCTCTTGAGAAAGGCTTTACAATATCTTGGATTTGATGTGTTAACTCCTACACACCTATCTCTAGTGATTCTTAACCTAAACTATTTGGGAAGTCATACAATTATTAGAGGAGAGAGAATCGGGAAGTTCTGAAAGCACTTATCTGGAAAGGAAAGGTGAGAGATTTGCTGTGATCACAGGATGGAAGGAGCCTCGGGTTATAGTCTTAAGAAACCCAGTTATAAAGGGGTCAAAATCAAATTGTAATATTCCTAATCTTTGGCCATCTAATGCTCACTCCAAGGCATTTCTTTCCAATTTATTGGGTTGACGTGCCTGCCTAGCTCATTAATGGCATAACTTCTTATCTTGAGTTCTCCACCACGGTAGGTGCATCGAGGATTATAAACTTGGTGTGGATGGACGCTCTTGCCAACTCATCACAGAGACCTGCCCAGAGGGAGGTGACTGCGGGGAAAGCAGGGAGCTTCCCATGAACCAGACCCTCTTTGGGGAGATGTTCTTTGGTTACAACAACCATTCCAAGGAAGTGGCTGCCGGACAAGTGTTGAAAGGAACATTCAGGTGAACCTCATGTATACAGTACTGATTATTCAGGGCTGTTGGCAGATCTTCTCTGAAGAGCTTAGCCACTCAGCATAAAGGTGTTTGGTTTTTTTTTTTTTCATATTTGAACATTCCATCCTTTATTATTGTATTCATTACAACATATCATAATTATATTTCATTGGTTGCTCTACTGTACTGAATTCTTTGAGATTAGAAATCTGGTTTTGTTAATTTTTTCCTCAATGCCTATCTTGGCATCTTTTCAATATATGCGTTAGAGCAAGTAAATGTGATATGCCTAAAGGGATAGGTTACATTCTGTATTAATCCATCTCTGGTGCTTATAACAAAATACCTGGAACTAGTGATTTGTAAGAAAATGAAATTTATTGCTTACAGTTCCAGAGGCTGGAAAGTCCAAAGTCCAGAGAAAACATCTGGTGAGGTGACTCTACGGCAATGCAGGGTGTCACATGGTGAGAATGGCAGAGCAGAGAGAGAGCTGACTCCTTACCCTTCTCCTTTTAAATTGCTCAAACCACATCCATGACCACCATTGAAACATCAATGGATTAATCCATTTATTTGGGCTTGGCCCGGGGTGTCACATGGTGAGAATGGCAGAGCAGAGAGAGAGCTGACTCCTTACCCTTCTCCTTTTAAATTGCTCAGAACCACATCCATGACCACCATTGAAACATCAATGGATTAATCCATTTATTTGGGCTTGGCCCTCATAATCTAATCACCTCTTCAAGGCACCAGCTTTCAATTACCATGATAGGATTTCCCACCCTCTTAACATGGTCACTGTAGGGGTTAAATTTCTAACACATGGACTTTGGGGGACACAATTCAGTACAAGGCACATTCTCTTCCATGGTCTTCTCCAAGTCTACTACATTCCCACTTCCAGAATTCGAGAGCCATACTTCCCCTGGGTGAAAGTAACATGTTAAATGATATTTTACTTTGTCCAGGTGCAGACTGCAACATTTTTCATGGAAGCCACCTCAAAATGTTCAAGTTCCATTTAATCTCTGAATGAAAGAATCAATGTGCGAGTCAATCCAGAGTAGCAGTCCGAAGAGTGTGATCCAAGGATCAAAGGGTCCTTGAGACTCTTTCAGGGAATATTTAAGGTCCTGCCTTTTCGAACTATAGAAAGGCTAGATTTTCTTCACATACTTCAACCTAAACAATATTTTGCAATAAATTGAATTCAGATGTGAAAATTTAGCTGAATTCTAAGACAGACATTTAAAAAATTTGCAAAAAATGTAAAATAATGCCACTCACTTCTATAATTTTTCATAGAATATATTAATATTGAGTGGGTATACTATTGTTATTTTTAAAAGGAATTAGTATATTTTTAAAATTTGTTTTAATTTCTAATACAAGCCTGATAAAAATTGATAAATATAATTGGGGCCTTATTATAGAAATATAACAAAGCTGCTTGGGACCTGCGATTGTTTTTAAGAGTGTGAAGTGGTCCTATGAACAAAATGTTTTAAACCATTGATTTAGGATATTTCTAGGAAATTCTCAATTTGAACCCTGTCTCTGTTCTACCTTGGGCTATTTGAATACTTCCTCAGAACCCAGGGGAAAATGCTTTCCAGGAGATGATGTCAGTGTTATTATACGGACCATCGGTGGAGAGTAACAGGGCCTACACTCTTATGAGCATACTGACAGTAAATTTCCAAGCCAGTTCTTGGAGACAGTTGCTTTTTCTGTTACATACAGGAGACATTACAAATATTTCCCCTTTTAGCCTGGCAATTGGTTTGCCAAAGGCAAGAAGTGGGTAGCATAAAGGATCTTGTGGTGGCTGGAATCTCCACTGCAGTGTAGAAATGAGACAGTGTGTCCAGATCTTGTTGAGAGGGTGCCAGGAAGTAGGGATTGGGATGGGAGTGGGCGAAGAATATTCCCTCCCCTTTCAGTAGACCTTTTCAGCTGGTTCCTTTCTCATTGCCCCCAGCGTTCACCCTACCTCCCATCCCATATGTCTTACTCCTGACATGTATATCGAATGGTGTGCATGGTGAGGTGAACCTTTTGGCCCAAAAAGAATTTTTTCCCTGTGGGTTGAAATACAGTTGCACACCAAGGAGTGGGGTTCATCTGAACTCAGAAATGAAGGTCTGCCCTGTTTTTAGGCAAAACAACTTTGCTCGTGGTTTAGACCAGCAACTTCCGGATGGTCTTGTGGTGGCCACTGTCCCCCTGGAGAATCAGTGCTTAGAGGAAATCTCGGAGCCCACCCCTGACCCCGACTTCCTGACTGGTGAGTGTGCCTTTCTGCCCTTATTTAACCAGCAAAAAACCAGGCAGCTTCCTATGGTTTCACAAAATCAAGACTCTTGACCTTGCCTATTTTGATTTCTAAGCCAGTGATTTCCTCAATACATGTTAAAAGCTCAGTCGTAAAAAAAAAAGCTCAGAAAAATTGTGAATATTATAATCATCTGCAAAATGGTCATGATCATATCTGTTCTTGCTAGTTTCACAGGGAAGCTTTGAAAACAAATGAGATGGTACATGTGCAAAAAGTTCGGAGTTCTAAGTGACCAGGTCAGAGAGGCAGAGAGAGAAGCTAGATTGCTACTGTCACCTGAATGCCTATCATTGCAGCTGTTGGGTTCCCTGGCTAGTACTTACAGAGCAATGAGAGGGAAAAGAAAATGGTAGAGTTTTATTGTCAAATGTCCTTAGGTTTGAATCCCAGCTCTGCTGCTTTGTAGCTGTGTGGTATTAGACAATGTAGTCACTCTGGGCCTCATGGTTCCTCATCGTAAGGCAAGGATAATAGTGCCTGCCCCTCCATGTGGTTTGGGGCCCACTGGCGTTCTTCCTCTGGGCTCATTACGAACAAAGTATGGGTTGTTTGGAAGAGGCAGGAACCTCAGGGTATGCTTCTCCTTTCTGTGCCTCTGATGACCTCCAGTTAGCACCTCCTGCGCCAAAGAAGAGACTTGAAGGTGTCGCATGGACTCATGAGAGGGAGCCAGCTGGATTTAGCATCGCTTGCTGGAAGGCTAGACATGAGCTCCATTCCATTCATCATTTCTCCATTATTCCTCTCCTTGTTTATTGTGTGTCTTCCACACTCTGTACGTTTCTCCCTGTTTTCCTTCCTTTTCTAAAGAATGGATTGAGCTGAGGATAGGCCTCTTCCAGATATCAAGTAATGTTAACAACTCTAGTTTAGACATGAGTGGGATTAGAAGTGGGTCTTTCTGAGGTCATAGAGCATAGCGATTAGTGGGTTTCTCCCTGTTTTCCTTCCTTTTCTAAAGAATGGATTGAGCTGAGGATAGGCCTCTTCCAGATATCAAGTAATGTTAACAACTCTAATTTAGACATGAGTGGGATTAGAAGTGGGTCTTTCTGAGGTCATAGAGCATAGCGATTAGTGGCATGGGCTCTGGAGCCCAACAGCCAGGCTTGATTCCTGACTGAATGTGTGATCTGGACACGTTACTTAACTTCTCTGTGCCTCAGTTTCTTTTACCATAAAAATGGGTATTGTAATACTGTCTTCCTCATAGGATTGATATGAGGAATAAGTAAATTAATACTTGTAAAATTTTTAGAACAGTTCTTGACAAATGGTAAGATCTATTTTTGTTCAATAAATAAATATTCCAAGAAAGAAAGTGATATGAAAACTACCAAATAGTGTCTTTTCTATAGGAAGAGAAGGAACAAGAGAGAAAACAATTAGACATATTCTGGATCAGCAATAAATCTCTTCAAAATCAGTTGCCTGATGAAAAGCCGCACACACGCACGCACACACACACACACACACACACACGCACAAACACACCCCTGATGAAATAAAAATTCAGTCTCTGGACATATCCCTAAAGCCTGCATCTCCAGCATTAGGGAATCTAGGTTCCTTGTGTCTATATCATCTGCTCAGAAACACTTTCCGTGTGTGTAAAATGCCTTTTAAAGGAGATGTGAGGTGGCACGTTCAAATAGGGCAGGGCAAACATCACTAATAAACTACTTGGCTCTGTTGGCAGATCCACCAAACCATCTCACACACACTAACGTGTTGTGATGGGAGGAGAGTTTAGTTTAGGAGGAAACACAGAACAGTTGTGGATGTTCCCTGAAGCTTTTTGAGAGCAGTGGGTGGGTAGATCCAAGGAACATCAGAAGAGCACGTGTTTGAAGCCACATGTTTGGGAATAAGGAAGATGTGCAAACTTGGTCCTCATCCACAACAGAAACTTCTAACCCTCCATGCCCTTGGACCTCTCCCAATTTGGCTTACTGGAGACAAAAGGAAGAGAAGGTTGTCCAGATGGGACACTTCCCTTCTTCGTGGTCCTGAGGCAGTGAAGTCTAACATTCCTGACTATGTAGAGGGAACTCTTCTTGGCCTGGCAACTTTTCTTTCTTTTTAATCTGTTTTGGTTAAGAAGTGGTACCAGTTAGGCCAAGAATATATATTTCTTTGATGTAAACTGGGATTGGGCTTGTTTTAAAGCCCAGAACAATCAGAAGAATCTATTAAAGGGACCAGATTTTTTCCATATTAACTCTCTAGTTCTGACAACATTTTTTTTTTTCCTTTTTGTCTTTTTTTACTGACTGGTAACAGGATCGCAACCCTCGGTGTTGCGCCCGCACCGCCCTCAGCCAGTGAGCGGGAACCGGTCTCCACATGGGATCCGAACCCTCGACGGGAGCGCCGCCATGCTTCCAAGCAGCGCACTCTCCAGTGCGCCACCGGGTCGGCCCCTGACAACATTTTAATTGTATTTTTCCAGAGAGTCATACAGTGAATCTTATATCATGTCACATTACGTACTGTTAAAGGTTATAATCCCCATAACACTACAAGCTTAGAGGATTTTAGAGCTAAAGTGATCTTCAGAATCTTCTATATCAGCATTTCCAAGCATAGGTTTTTTTTTTTTTTTTCATGAAAAATCAGGGCTTTATTCATAAATGTTTTCAAATATGCTTTGAAAGACTATATGTAGTATCTCAGCAATTTACAGCACCTTAGCATCATAAAAGGTTCCAAGAAGCCCTGCAGTAAAGAAATCCCTTTCACTTTATTTAACCCAGCAATTCCTAAACCTATTTAACTAGAGAATTCTTTTCACACATAACACCTGTTTCCATCTTGCAGAATTATTGGTTTGAAGAACACACTGGAAAATACTGATCTTGCTGATGGCTTCCCTCTCCTGCAAAATAACAGTTACAAACTCTGAGCTTTACAGGTCTTTTTGGTGTTACAAACTGTGTAGAAATGAATGAAGACCAACCAAATGAGAACAGGCAAAGGCTATTTATTCACAGCCTGCTACAGCAAGGGAGCCAGCCACCATCACTGACTTTTTGGCAGAGACTCAAAGTCAGGCAGAGGAGTGGGAAAGCTTTATGGTGGAAAAAGGGGAGGGCTTCAGGTCTGCCCATGTAGAAGGCCGTGGACATGAGGAAGCTGTAGGTGGGCTAACTAAAGTGGGCACCCACGTGATTGGTTATGGGTGCATATTTGACTTTCTCTGAATGGACCTAAGTGGGAAGCAGGAACAAAAAGTTAGGAAAGCTGTCAGTTATTAATTAAGTCCTGGTCATTTGGGGCCAATTGTTATAGGGGTTATTGTTTGGTTTCTTGGGACGTTTGTTAGAGATGGTGGTGTGACTTCCTACAAGTCTGACTTCAAGATAATAGACTGGCTTCCTGAGCCTGTCAGTTATTAATTAAGTCCTGGTCATTTGGGGCCAATTGTTATAGGGGTTATTGTTTGGTTTCTTGGGACGTTTGCTAGAGATGGTGGTGTGACTTCCTACAAGTCTGACTTCAAGATAATAGACTGGCTTCCTGAGCTGGTTTTTGCAGATTTTGTTTCCTGAGATGGTTGCTAGAGATTGAGGGTCAGAGTTCCATTTTTATACATGGTCTAGCCATTGTCCACTTGTGTATTCAATCTTTCAGGTAAGAAAAAGTAGGGAGTCCAGAGATCGACTAGGAAGTAGAGGAGACTGAGGCCACGTTCACGGGCCTGTTGGGTGCCATGGCCATTAAATCCATTTGAAGATTTAGAACTCTGGGCTCTTTGGAACTTCTTCAGTTTATCCAAAGGAAACAGACTCTTGGCTTTAGAACTTTGGGGTAATATATATCCCTCTCATATTTCAAATAAAACAACAAGAGGAAGCTAGTTTTCTTTTTCCTTCTTTCTTCCTTCCTTCTTTCCTTCCTTTCTTCCTTTTCTTTCTTCATTTCTTCCTCTCTTCAAAGATTACACATAAGGTCTATTCAGTTAATTTTTTCCTAAGCACAGGTAGGAAAAAATTAATGCTCTTTCTCAAGAAAACATAGTCAGAGATACTTTGTTTTAAAAAAGAGTCATTTAGCAGAAATGTATCCCAAAATAATAATAAAACAGTATACCTGATTGCATGTCAAGGGCACACTGAGAAAGAATCATATGACTCAGCTATAAAATCTGTTTCTTTCTTTTTAACTAATGGAAATATTATCTGTGGGTGGGCACAGGAAAGCGTTTCCCAAGCATTAACAGTTAGGTAACTGTTTCCCTATGCGTGGCACACATGCACCCGGTAGTGTTGCTGTTTAGCAGTTAAGTAATGGAACTCAGTAGTTTGGCTCATCCTGGATGGAGGCAAGACTCTGTCATCCCGATCACCATCACCCCCCAACATCCGTGTTTGCTCCTTCATTTTTTCTTCCCTCCGTTGTTCTGTACTAAAATTTAGAAAGTTATAACAATAGCATCACTTAAATAATGTCAGGTGTGCACAGTTAGAGGTGAGGAGAGAGGTGAGGAGGAGGAGGAGGAAGACAACATTGAGAGGCCATGTATGTGCAAGGTGCTTTATCTGTTCTCAAAGCACTTTTACATCCATAATTTAATTTTGTTCTCAAAACCTCCCTGTGAAGTAGATGGGATGAATACCATTATCCCCACTTTTCAGATGTGAAAATAGAATCAAATGCAATGCCTTGCCCAAAGTCAGTCAGCTGGTGGGAATCACAGAATGGAAGAGGAAGCAAGGATTATCTCAGCTAGGCTCTCACCTTACAGCTGAAACAACTGAGAGCCAGAAGGTCCCCTAGCTAGGTAGCCAGGCAGGGGACACATGGGCTGTGAGAACAAAAAGTCATGGCTATAAAAATTCCTATCACTCCAAAACTGCTTACTGCAGCGAAACAGCCACTCAGAACTCTGGCCTCATTTCTTGCCTCCTTCTTTTCCACTAGGAAACAATTCAATTAAAGGGAGCTTTTTCTGATAAGTTGAAAATAATCTTAATTTATTGGGCTTGCTATTTTTGTAAACAGGCTTTCTGAAACCACAGCAAAGCTGATCAGCTGTCATAACTAGAGGACACATGTTGTATTGAACGGTTCTACATAGCACACGCATCTCAAGCTCTAGTGAAATGTACCTTTAAGGCATGTGACTGAAGTCTTAAACTTGTAAAGCCAGAATTTCATTTGTACGCTTTTGAAGTTAACATAAAGGTTAGAAGCCAAAGCATGTAGTAGTATGACTGTTGTCACAAAGCCCTAAAAGGAGAACATTTGAAATAAAAATTACTGAAAACTTTTTCTTAGTTTCAGGTAACTTATCTTTGATAGCCTCAGATAAAATTTAAGCAATTGATTTACTAAGCACCTTTCCTGACCTTTTTTCTTTATGCCTTACCAATAATTATTCCCATATGATTCACACAGAAATGAAAATTTGGTAATTACTCAGCTAATTTGACAAGGGTTGACAAGCAGCTAATTAATCCTGCCTACTCTTCATCCAGTTTAGGTATTAAATTAGTTGATTTAGCCTGAAGGAAGCATGGGTCTAAGTGGCAGAATAATTCACTATGTATGTATTATTGCCATTAATTTGTACATACACGCACACAGCCCCTCTAATATATATGTAGGTATGTATGTATATTGCTGTTATATGTGTATGATGTCTATGTGTGTATACATATATTTCCATAACTTATCCATACAGCAAACATTAGGCCTAGAAATGAAGCTAAAATTGGTTTTCTAAACTTAGCAAGGTGATTTTACTTTTGTTTCCTGTGGCCTAATTATTTTGTTTCTGTAGCATTTTATATTTATAGTAATGGCTGGAATTCAAATAGGGTGACATTTTTTTTCTCTGAGGTACTCCAGGAAGAACAGTCCATTAATAGCACCTCTAAGAGGCTCCGAGGATGTGTTTATTGAGAGTGACCCTGGACCACTAATTTAGCTTCTCGGCACATCAGTTTTCTCATCGGTAAAAGGGGGATCATAAGTGCCTATTACAATGCCTGGTGCATAGATGACACTCAATATTTGGGCATCCCTGCTCCTTAGTAATTTAGTCACTCTGACACTATCCTTTCTCATAAAGAAGAAATAAGCATTATCAGCCTCAGAGCAATTAAAACTTACATACCAAACACAAATCAGTCAAATGAGACAGAAGAATCAATGTTATCACGTATGTGAGCTGAGTCAATTACTGCAACCATTAAAGAGAGTAAAACTCTGATGTGTTACAGTAAGTCAGGAATTTAATATAAATTTATTATGAAGTCATGAGTAAGAACTCCAGCCCTGGCCTCAGATACATCTGGAACCCCATCCTGGCTTATCTCGTGTCTTTGTAAGTTTCCTCACTTACAAAATGCAAATAATAACACCCATCTCACAAGGATCAAATGGCTTAATATATGCAAAGTGCTTAGCAAAATGCCTGGCACAGAGTAACGGTTCCATAGATGATAGCTGTTGTTACAATTCCAGAAATTATCTTCATCAAAGAATGCTTTATCATTTTCTCCCAATTACAACCCATAACCTGATCAAGTCAGGTCACATTTTTCGGTTTGGGACTTGTGAATCAATCTTGTGCACTGAGCCTGCATCTCCTCTGTCCCTAGGGATGGTGAACTTCAGTGAAGTGTCCGGATACCCTGTGCTGCAGCACTGGAAGGTCCGGTCTGTGATGTACCACATCAAACTCAACCAAGTGGCCGTCTCTCAGGGTGAGCACTGCCAAGCCATCCCTCTTACCTTCTCCACCCCCACCCCCCACCCCAGGCTGGACTTCCTTTCCATGGAAACAGCCTTTAGTGCCATTGTCGAAGATGCAACCTAAAATATAGCTACTCCATCAGTAACCTATTCACTCAGATTCACCCTTAAGGGCAAATGGCTGGAATTGGATTCTTTTCTAAGAATAGATTAAATTGCAAGTTTTGTCTCAGACTATAAAAGAGATGGAAAGGGCAAGGCCAGAACCAATGAAGATATCATTTTTCCTGGGGTCACCCAGTGTACAGAGAGGCTATGCAAAAGCATAATTTTTACAAATTGACAGAGTAAAACATTCCAAATGCAAAGATCATAGTTTAGAGATTCTAAGTCAATCAATCAATCAATTGATAAGGAAAAGAGGGCAAGAAAGAGGGGAGAAGGAAAAATAGAAAATGGCTTAAGGTTTCTAAACAGCAAATAAGTGAAATAGATAGATTGAGAAATAAAGAAATGGCTATTATATCAATATCTATATTTGTATCTAGTAAGTTAAGGAGTAGTGAGTCCTAAACTTACTCAGGCTCTTAGGGTCAGCAATAGAGAGGTGGAGCTTTAGGGCCGACAGGAGGAAGATAAATGGTAGAGGACAAATAGAAGGTTATGGAGAGAAGTGAGACATGTACTCCCAAAGGATAAAGCTTGCTGCATAGACAAAGATAATGCATTAAGGGGATAGAACATTTCCATAAGACACCTATCAGAACGTTTTTTAACACAAAAGAGTTTGTGGCAAGAAGGGATTGGGACGGGGAGCTTATTGAAGGAAACTCTGCTGGTGTAGAACATCTAGAGAGAACCACGCTACTCTTTATTCTAGGAAAACATGGCAGTAGAGACCGTACCCCGTTCACATGTACAGTTTACACCTAGCACAGTTGCTGGGCCTGTTAGGGGTTGACAATCTCTGTTGCCACATGCCTGTCAAAGTCACCAGTGTCACAGTGATGTGGACCTCAGGCACTTGTGGCCTCATGTCTGGGCTAGCCTCCACCTTGCCGTGATGGGACACAGGCAGGTAGAAAGGAAGGCTATGTAAAGCGGGCCAGATGCAGGAGGCATTAGATTTGGAAAATCTACTACAGGCCATCTTTCCAACGAGTATAATTCCCTTAAATAGAAACAGCAAACCCACGGAGATTTGCTGAGGAGGAGGATGGGGAAGCAAGCAGGTTCTTTCTCCCATTCGTCATTTTCCAGTCCTCTTACTTTTGATTTTCTGAAATAAGATATAAGCAGTATATTAGTTATTAGTGACTTTTCTTTCTTCCTTTGTCTTCCCATTGCCAATTTCTATGTCTGAAGACAATGCTCTGCAAACTTTTTTTGGTTTTATGTCGTGGCCTGGTGCATACACACACTCCCACCTACACACAACAGAAGTTTCATGAAGTGATACATCATCTTATAATGCGAAATGTTCTCTGCTGGTATTTGTATTTTTATTTTAGACTATATACACACACTCCCACCTACACACAACAGAAGTTTCATGAAGCGATACATCATCTTATAATGCGAAATGTTCTCTGCTGGTATTTGTATTTTTATTTTAGACTATGCTATTCTTTTTCATTTCTTCCTCCAAATGCTATTATTTGAGCTCACTAAATTGATTTAATTCCATGACCTGTCATTTGAAAAAAAGCACTGACTTAAGGCAGGCAGGGGTGGAGATTTGGCAATATGCTGCTTAATTCGCACAAAGCAAGCAGCACAGGCAACTGGCTTAAAAGATACCCATTTAGGAACTGAAACACCTGATTTAACTAAATGGAAATATTCACCTGATAGTTCCAGCCAGCGCTCCAGCATGACTTCGGGCCACACAAGTACTTCCACATTTGGGGCTGAATTGCCTAGGAGTCCACATACCTGAACTGTGACCCCTCACTCTTATTCTTGGGTGATGTTTCTCCATAGCCCTCAGCAACGCTCTCCACTCCCTGGATGGGGCTACATCTCGTGCAGATTTTGTGGCCTTGTTGGACCAGTTTGGCAACCATTACATCCAGGAAGCTATCTATGGCTTTGAGGAGTCCTGTTCTATCTGGTACCCCAACAAACAGGTCCAGCGACGACTCTGGCTGGAGTACGAAGACATCAGCAAAGGTGAGTGGCATGCAGGTGCAGCTGCCCATGTACAGTAGGGCCAAATGTAAGGAGTCTGTAAGGAAAGAACGAGTTTAGATTTTCCCTCAATGCTCTACGCCCATCCTTAAAATTTCCAAGGTTGGGTTGCTAAAACCAAATCTTAAAATGAGGGGAATTTTAGATGCAGGATGGGGTCAAAACTGTATGGTTACTGTGTTAGTTATCATACAGAGAGTCCTCTGAAGGTTTTCACCACCCACCGTTCATTCTGCTACTATGGCAGCAGCAAAGTATCAGACTGCTCTTCTGGAGTGGGAGAGAAGGAGGACAGTGTTTCTGTCTCCGTCACTCCATCCTGCCTCCAACAGTCCCAACGCTGCCCGGCATCCCCTTACAGCTACTACATAGTAAACCCCTTCACACTCCATCCTGCCCTATATTTAGGCTCATTTTTCCTCCTGATTGGTGTTTAAGAGAATCTCTAATGACCCCAACTGTTTATATAGCTCTGGACAACAGCCTCACAAATAAATCCTTGTCCATTGTCCTCAAAGCAAGTTAGTATTCAGCCCAAGTAAATATAAGAAATTGAAATTTTTCAAACTTCCTGAATTGACCTTCTAGTACAGTGGGAGGACTGGTCAGTATATTTGTACTCTGATCAACCAAGACGACTTTAGAATTGCCGTTTGTGGAATTTCTTCTGATCTTATCCACATGCATTCTGATGAGGCCATGTTGTGGATATGTGACCCACTAAAGGGCAAGTGATGAATTTGCACAGTGAAAACTCAAGAAATGGGTAATCTTAAGACTCAATGATCACGGGTTCCTCTGAGACAGGGGACCCTCCTCTGCCAGCAGGACTGCCATGGGAACAAATGTGCCCCTGTGTCTGAGATGCTCTTGGTTCTCTGAGCTCCATACAAATTCCTGTTGTGCCTTGCTCAAGAGGTAGCAGAGCCAAGATAGCTTCTGTTCTCACTGGGCACTTTGTCCTGGAAGCAAGAGATCTGTGTCTGGGCTACAGTTGCTGCAGGAATCTCCCCCAAGCCCCGATTCCTCTAAACTCAGAGACACAACCACAAGCTTCTGGTATCCCTTCGAACCTCAGGATCTTAACTTTGTTCTGATTCCAGTTTGCCAAGAGAGCAGTGTGATGTAAGCAAATGTAGATAATACCAGTTCCAGTTGGCAAAGCTTTCTTATGTTTCCATGCCAGAGTCTGGGGGCTGAAGCAAAAGGCTGAATCCTCTGCTATTTCTGCTTGCCAGTGGTTCAAGGATTGCCAGGCCCTGGGATTTCTGGGAAACGAGTCTGACCTTACCCAGAGCTCCTGGTTCTGAAACTTGCTTCTGTCTCAACTATTGCAGTGTCCTTAAGGTTAAACACCGAGCCCAACGGGGAAGGTTGTCCATGGCCTTGGCATTGTGCCCTACCTCTCTTGATCTCAAACCTCTCTTGCCTCTCAGTCTTTTTGTAGTTTTGCTACAGTCCAACTACTGACTTTAGTTCTTTGAAATATGATTTATATAACTCATTGCTTGTTATTGATCTTAAAAGATACTCAAACATCTTAGTATGCTACTTTGATCTCTGTCAATTGTCCATGTCTACCACTCTCTATTCCTGAGCCTTACCTCTGAGTTATAGGGTTTATCTGTTTTGTTGTTCGATATCATTCTGACTCGTAAATATTTTTCTCCTCCCTCGGTACTAATTTTCTTTTATTCCAAAACTCTGCATGAGGGCATGCTACTGACTAAGAATGATAAGTGCATAAGATACAGGAAGATGTCTTTCTACTCTTCTGCACTTTGAGAGAATGGATATAGAGTGGAACTTTGCATTAGGGGTGACAGGTGTGCTGAGATGGCTATACCTACCATGACATGCAGGTGACACTTTTTTTGGACTCAAGTCTTTTGATTGTATGTTCTTGCCTGCTCTAGCTTTAAAACTCTCCTAGTGGAAAGGGTTTCCCTGTTCTTTAGTTCTGCACTTATGACCAGATACCCAAAATTGCTTATGGATTGAGTAGGAAAGGAGGTTCATCAGAGTGAAATGGAGTGGAAATAGCACAAGACGCAAGGGCTGGCAATCTAGAGTCAGCCAGGGGATTTTGCTTTAGTCAGTTACTTATCTGGACCACATCTCTGATGCCCTCGGTGGTTCCCCATTTCTGATAGTGTATGAATCCTTACAAGTCCTCCTTTATGTGGGAAGTGTTCTCAGTTTAGGCATTTGGGTAAAGAATCTCCTCTTTTCTCTACAAAATTACAAAATTCTTAAGCGTAGGTTCCATGCCTTATTCAACTTTAAATTCTGAGAGTCGAACACAGAGCCAAGCACACAGTAAGTGCTCAGCAACTGTTTATTGTTGCTGCTGTCAGTGATGGTGGCAAAGGTGGTGGTAACAATGGAAAAAGCCCCTCTGATGTGGTGATTTCCACGTGGGTTCTATTGTACACACGTAACATGCCTGAGTTATGCCTGGCTGATGAAATTTAGAGATGGATATTTTTGGCTATGTCTTTAAAGGCAGACTTCCATTCCACAGGCGTGTTTTGTCACACTGCCACTAGGTGGTTTGGCCAGACCAGCATTTAGGACCTGTCTCTAGGTAAGTCTGATGGAAGCCTGTGAAAAATATACTTCTATTTCTAATCATCTAAGATTAGCTTCTATGCCTTAAATTTTTCTTGTAGAGCAAATAAAGGCTGGAAGAAATACAACTTCCCAGCCTCCACTGTCCACACATCTAAACTTACTTACATCTTCCCCCATCGTCCTTTGCCCTCCTGTCTCAGAAAGCTTCGTGGGCTCCTCCTCTCAGCTAACGTCCCGCCGGGGACAGGCTCTACCTCTCTGCTCAGTCACAGACCTCACGCATCCGTTGTGCTCTTTCTTTTTAATCTGCACCATCTCTCCAGCCACGGAGTTCTTTCTTCCCCAACCTGTATCCCCTAAAAACTAATCTTTTAATAAGCATGTGACCTTTTTTACTACTTTTTCCTTTCAATACATTACCACTGAATTTCTTGAAAGAGTGGTTTATGCATCTTTACTTCCTCTACTCCATTTCATTCTTCAAATGATTGCTTCCAATGTGGAGTAAAGTGGCTTAACCCCACGGCACTGGAGAAGGACTTCGAGGGGTTCTCAATCAGAGGGTCCCCAATATCTATTGAGACCCTTCCATCTTCTCCGCTGGAGAATTTGTCTCTCTTGGCGAGGTCTGCCTCCTCGAAAATTCTCTCTTCCCTTAGTGTCCCTAATGCTATTCTGTCCAGATTCTCTTCATAAATCTTTGGCTTTTATTTCTCCTCTTTTTACCCTTACTGCTCAAAGGAAGTCATTTACATTTTGGTCGTTTTCCAGGATTTCATCCTTAACGTGTCTCTTCTTCACTGTTTCTGAGTGTTGCTTTCACATCTGCCTCAACCTACACCTCTAACCCTCCCCTTTTCCCTGAGGTTCAAAGCCTCTTTGTTTTTAAGCATTTCTACCTGGAGATTCCACAGGCTCCTCAATGATCAATATCTCTTTTCTCTCCCTTATAACACTAGTAGATTCATGAACTCCGTTGATGGGTCAAAATATATATAGTGAGGAGTTTTTCTCAACGTTCTTCTCCATCCTCCACATCCAGCCATTATGAAGCCCCATCTTTTTCACTGTTTCCTTTCCTCTCCATTTCTTCAAGCTGTATGAGTTTACAGCATCAACTCCCATACAAATGATTGAAATAGCTTCCTCATGTATCTCCTTTGCTTCAATTTCCTGCAATTCTATTCCATTCCACAATTCAGCTGTTGTATTTTTTATTTTTATTTATTTGCTCAAACTATTTTAGCATTTCCTTATACATATTTGTAGTACTCATGTGTGTTCGTAGGTGCGTTGTGTTGTTTCCATACATGCACACGCTGTGCACTGAGTCACTTAGGGTGGATAGCACAGTTACCCATTACTCCACCTCTCTTCCTCCTCCCTTCCTCCCTTCATCCTTTGGAAACCATTATTCTACTCTCTACTTCTATGTGAACTGCTTTCTTTTTTTTTAGATGGTTATCTTCTTTAAATGCAATTTAATGACCTTACTCTTCAGCTTGAAGCCCTTCACTGACTCCTTACTGCCTTTTAGCGTGCACAGTGTGGCTTCCCTCCCTGTATTAGTTTCCTATGGCTGCAGTAACAAATTACCACAAACTTGGTTGCTTAAAACAACACAGAATTATTTTCTTACAGTTCTGGAGGCCCGAAGTCCAAAATCAGTGCCACTGGGCTACATCAAGGTGCCAGCAGGACTGGTTCCTTCTGGAAGCTGTACGGGAGAATGCTTTTTCTTGCCCTTTCCAGCTTCTAGAGGCCACCTGCATTCCTCAGCTTGTAGGCCCTTCCTCTATCTTCAAAGTGCATCCTCCCAATTTCTGAGTCACATGGCCTTCTCTGTGACTCTGACTCCTCCAGTATCCCTTTTATAAGGACCCTTTGATTACATTGGGCCCACCCAGATAATCCGGGTTAATCTTCCCCTCTAAAGAGTCTTAGTTTAATCACATCTGCAAAGCCCCCTTTGCCATTCACAGGCAACATTCATAGGTTCCAGAGATTAGGCCTGTGGATGCTGTTATTCATCCTTCCACCCCTCCTCCCTGTGCAGCTCTGGCATCACTGACCACTGCCCACCCCAGGCACCCTCCACTCTGATGACTCAAGGTTACCTGATGTCAATACAAAGCCTTTTCATGTTCTTCCACACAGGTTAGGGCCCCAGAGGCTCCCTCCCTCCCCCAGTTCAAGGCCACACATATCCTCTCTAAAGTCTCCACAACTCCTCTGTCTCACTGAAAAATTCTCTCCTGGGTCCCTCTCTTGCCCTTTATTTGGAACTCTCTTTTTTCTCCTTTTCCTGGTGACCGTTCTGTTACCTAATCTCTGGGGGGATCTCCCTCTCTTCGTAGGCCCTGAGGATCAGCAAATTAGTCTTTCTGGCTATGATTTCTGTTTCTTCC